GTTTCTCTTTGGGATTTTAGAGTTCGCTGCAGCTCGGTGACAGTCCCGCAGCTGTCTTACTGCAAACACCTGGCCCCTACCCGGACACCAGAAGGGTAATGCTGGGATCAGCCCATCACATTCTGTTACGGTCCCCAGGCAAATGTCTTCTGTCAAGGTTACTTCATACTTTACGTCGCTGGAGGCCGGGGCTGACCTGGGGAGATCTTTCCGGAGCCGAAGTGACTCGCCCACAGAGGTCCGAGTTGCCTGTGTTGTGGGGGGGTCGGCTTCAGTGGAGAGAGTTGACGTGAGAAACTCACGGCCTCCGGGCGCCTGGGTGGCTCAGTCAGGTGAGCTTCCGCCTTCAGCTCAGGTCATGATTCCGGGGTCCTGGGATGGAGCCCCGCATCGGGCTCCTTGTTCTGTGGGGAGCCTGCTTCTCCCTTTCTCTCTCCCTGCCACTCCCCCTGCTTGTGTGCTCTCTCTCTATGTCATATAAATAAAATCTTTAAAGAAGAAAAAAGAAGGAAACTCACAGCCTCTACGTTCCCAGTGACTGAAAAGATGAGACATCACTCCTCAGCCTGCCGCCCCCGGCCCAAAGACACGAGGTTTCAGCCTGAGGACTGTTTAAAAATCTTGACTCGATCGACCTTTTATTTTATTAATGAATTAATTATTATTACTTTTTTTAGAGAGAAAGGGAGAGAGAGGGAGAGAGCAATGGGGGGAAGGACAGAAGGAGAGGGAGAGACAGAGAATCTCCAGCAGACTCCTCTCTGAGCATGGAGCCCATCGCAGGACCCTGAGATCATGACCTGAGCCGAAATCAAGAGTTGGATGCTTAACCGACTGATCCACCCAGGCTCTGCTGGATTGACAACCTTTAAAAAAGGAGTAATTTCAGGGGCGCCTGGGTGGCTCAGTCGTTAAGCGTCTGCCTTCGGCTCAGGTCATGATCCCAGGGTCCTGGGATCGAGCCCCACATCGGGCTCCCTGCTCCACGGGGAGCCTGCTTCTCCCTCTCCCTCGCTTCCCCTGCTTGTGTTCCTGCTCTTGCTATCTCTCTCTCTGTCAAATAAGTATATCAAATCTTTAAAAAAAAAAAAAGTAGTAATTTCATAAGTCAATCAGAGAAAGACATGTATCATATGACCTCACTGATATGAGGAATTCTTAATCTCAGGAAACAAACTGAGGGTTGCTGGAGAGGTGGGGGGTGGGAGGGATGGGGTGGCTGGGTGATGGACATTGGGGAGGGTATGTGCTATGGTGAGTGCTGTGAATTGTGTAAGACTGATGAATCACAGACCTGTACCTCTGAAACAAACAATACCTTATATGTTAAAAAAAAAAAAAGAAGAAGATAGCAGGAAGGGAAAAATGAAGGGGGGGAATCGGAGGGGGAGACGAACCATGACAGATGATGGACTCTGAAAAACAAACTGAGGGTTCTAGAGGGGAGGGGGGTGGGAGGACGGGTTAGCCTGGTGATGGGTATTAAAGAGGGCACATTCTGCATGGAGCACTGGGTGTTATGCACAAACAATGAATCATGGAACACTTCATCTAAAACTAATGATGTAATGTATGGTGATTAACATAACATAATAAAAAAATGATAATAAAAAAAATAGTAATTTCACAGGAAAATCTGATTTTCATCTTCTTTGGGCAAAGAATTCCCAGTGGCACTGAGCCTGCTTGTCTCCCGTAGCATGAGTTTCCAGAGCTGAGTGAGGGCGACTCCCGGTGCACCCCCTGCAGCCCTTCTCACTCTGTAGTGCACCCCTCTGCTGCTCGCCCAGCTACCTGCCTGTCTGTGGGTCTCGGAGTCATGGCTCTGGCTCTCAGCCAGTGCCGGGAACGCCACTCTGGGCAGGTCTCAAGTCTTCTGTCCTCCGGCCTTAATTTTCCCGTATATTAACTAAGGAATTGGATTAGAGAGGATCAAGAGTCTCCCTCAACTCCCATATTTTGTGACTCTGGGATGATCAGGAATTTTAAAATAATTTTTTTCAGTATATACTAAAAGGCAGTTATATTTCCTTGGCCTTGAAGAATTCTAACATTCATGAAGCACGACAAAGCCATTTGTAATTTGGCATAGTGAGACCAAGCCTTCCAGAGCTTGGAACATTCCCGGGAGAACAGAGAGAGTGGTTTTGTGGTGGGGATGGGGCTGTGGGCAGGTGGACGCCCTTGCTCTGTGCTTGTCTGACCCAGCAGAGCTCTGTACAGCCCCGTCTGTCTCACTGGCCTGCCAGTTGGACTGAATCCCAATCAGTTTCTGGGGAAAAAACACTCAACTGGAAGTTACCAGTCTAGATTCTTATCTTGGATCCATTATGGACTCATTGCTGTGAACACATCCATGCTGTTTCCACCTTGTCAGATTGGAAGAAAAGTTTTCAAGATCTAACATCCTGTGGTCCTAAGGTTCATCCTGTGCTTGTATAGGAAACATCAAGGGAAAACCCACAGAAGTTGTCAGGGCCTCCTGCTGATGGCTTTGCAGCATGTAGGGGTAGTGGTAGTACATAGACTCTGCAGGGGCTCATCCCAGCCCTGGCCGCTGGTCTCAAGAAATCTTCCATCTAGTGGGAAAGATGAAACATGCACCGAAGACTCTACCCTAGGAGGGGAAAGACCTGCATTTTGCCACCTTTTTCTCCACTTTTAAAGGTCTTTCATGTTCAACATCAGGGCCTTTGTAAAGAAACAAAGAAATAATTTAAAAGGAAGTCTGGAAAAATATGAAACTGGGTAAAAATTTGTTCCCTGCCAGATTTGTTTTGTTTTGTTTTTAAAAACACAGCTCTTATGACACACTCAAAAATTCTTTGTCCCTGTGGAGACATGCATCACATTCACATTCTTTGACTGGACCTTTGGCTCTGAACCAGAGCGTGGCTGCCTTCTGCCTCTCACGCATGAGGGAAACGGTGACTCTCTGAGAGTCACTTGCCCACCCCACCTCTCCTTCGGTTCAGATGCAGGACAACCTCCAACACCGCACTTAGGTGGTGTGGCCCTCCCTCCCGATGCCTTCCCTGAGCACGTCCTCTGCCCCGTCCACTCCCTGTGCTTGACTCACCCACTGTTTGTGGGCACACCCAGCCTCCTGTCCTTAAGGATTTCCCCTCCCTGTGAATACTTGTGTGGAAACATGAAAGAGTGAATGAGGGGGTGAGCTGGTGAGGGGAGAGGGGGAGATATGTGTCACTCAGGCCCGTGTGCACCAGCTCTATGAGATAGGGCTTCTGTCCTGGCTTCCGTCAGTGTCACGCCAGCTGACATTTACTTAGCTATCACTGGCTGGTGGCAGTCCTTAAACCAAGGCGTGCAGGACTGGGGTGAGAGAGAGAGGTTGAGAGAACGAGTGGGGGAAGGGGTAGAGTGAGAAGCACACTCGATCATGGGACTCGATCCCAGGACCCTGGGATCATGACCTGAGCCGAAGGCAGACGCTTAACCGACTGAGCCACCCAGGCACCCTCTCCAGAGAATTCTAATACATCACTAGATGTTAATCTTGTCTATGCATTAAAATAGGTATTTGAGTAACTTCTAAGCAATATTGGTCACATACTAAGAGGTAATTAAAGAAGATAAACTGCGGGTTTTTTTAACATGATGTGTGTAGTCAGGCTTTCTCCTTCCTTGGTCTGCCCTTCATCCCTAACTGGTCAGGCTAATGGCATTTGGTTGAAGATATTACAGATAAGGAAGACAAAGTGACCAGCTAGCTTCCCCTACAGCAGTGCATCTAGAGGAAGGAAATAGTAAGTGTCCTCAAAGAACTCATCAGCTGGCCACCGTCCAAGGCACCAAAAACAACCTTGAAAATCAGATTCTGGGACTCCTGGGTGGCTCAGTCAATTAAGCATCTGCCTTCGGCTCAGGCCATGATCCCAGGGTCCTCGGATCGAGTCCCACATTGGGCTCCTTGCTCAGCAGGGAGCCTGCTTCTCCCTCTCCCTCTGCCCCTCCCCCTGCTTGTGCTCTCTCTCTCTCTCTCTCAAATAAAATCTTTAAAAGAAAAAGAATTCTCTGGAGAAACAGAACCAATAAGAGAGCTGATGGTTTAGCTCCAGTCTGGACACTGGCATGCTTGAAACCTAAGAGGAGCCAAGTTTTGGTTCAGTTCAAGTCCAAAGGCAGGAAAAAGAAAAAATAAAAAAGATGTCCCAGACGGAAAGCCATGAGACAGGAGTTCCCTCTTACTCAACCTTTTTGTTCTATTCAAGCCTTCAACTGATTGGATGAGGCCCACCCACATTAGGGAGGCCAATCTACTTTACTTAGTCTGATGTAAATGTTAACCTCATTTAAAAACACCCTCACAGAAACAGAATAGTGTTTGGCCAAATACCTGGGCACCCCAGAGCCTAATCAAGTTGGCATATAAAATTAATCTTTACAGTTAACCAATCAATAGATTTTTATATAGGGCATAATTTCAAAGTGGGTCATAGTACCTGAGCACAATTTGTTCTGTTTTATATTGTCTAAGTGTTCCGCAATTTTATCTTTACCATGAGTGAGCGAACTTCTCAGACCCTCAAAAAGGGGGGAGAGGAAGGGAGGCAAGGATGAGTAGTGAGGGGGTGAGGGGCACGCCCCTCCATGAGAAATTCCTCCCCTGTGTGTGTGAGAATGAGTCAGCTTTTCCCGAGGCCATATTGGAAGATGAACGATACACTGCTTTAATTTCATGAGCCCTGGAATCTCTGTTTTGCCTTAAGGAGCCAGAATTGAAGAAGCATGGGGACTTCATGCGTTCATGTCAGGCACCAGGCTCTTTCCAATACTGGTTTTGCAGAGAATAAGCCACTCGAATGATGGATTCGTTAAGTCATGATAGCTGTAATTTATTGAACGTTCCTTCTGTGGTGAAAATAAAAGCAGCTGTTGAGTGCTTTCCATGGTACTATTTACGATGGTAGATAGTTTATACGTTTTCGTACTCAACCTGACCAGCAAACCCACTGTCTACATTTTTGTCCCTCTCTTAAAGATGCTGGAAGATGCTCAGACACAGGAGGACACCCGTTCAGGATTGCGGAGCGGGTAACTGCAGAGCCGAGGCCCACATTTTCTCACCTTCATAGTCTCACCTTGGTAAGAACGGGCTGGTTTTTTACAAACTGATCAGCCATCCTGGAGGCCCCTGAATGGAGCCCCGCCCTCCCCAGATGCTTCCGTATCAATCTGGAAAGACCAGGATTTTGTTGTGATGGGTGAAAATGGTTTGATTATTCCGTGTGTTATGTTGGGAAAAGCAGCCTCTACCTGCATCAAACATCTGTTCTTTCTTCATCACAGCATTATTCTGAGACAGAATAAAAAATGCAGGAGAGGGCAGACAATCTTAGCCCACAAAAATTTTCCATTTTAGAATGCTTTTGCAAATGGTGCTGAAGGAGGTACATATTTTATGTGGAATAGACTAGGACATTTTGTTCCTTCCAGACAAACCGGGGGCGGGCGAGAACAAAAACGCAGCTTTTATTTAAAAAAACGTTAAAAGGCTGCCACTGTGTACTCAGCGATCGGCTTTGGGGGCCCACACTGTGCCCTCACAAGGCCCATGCTGGGGAGATGGGGAGGAGCGGAGGCAGGCCTGGCCCTTGTGGGCAACGGCCTGCAGGAGCTCCATGGCAGGAAGTGGGAACCCACTCCGAGGCTCTGGGACACTGGGGATGCTGGGAAGCAAGGCCACTTCAGCCGGGGCCCACAGGGAGGAGGGGGCACTGGGAAGTTGCTGGTCCCTGCACCTCAGGTGGCCTCCGTCACCCCCCCTCTGCTCTCCCCCCATACACCTGCTCCAGGCTTTCCAGATCAGCTCCCTATTCCTTGGTTGCTATGCCCACCGCAGGGAGGCATGTGTGAACGGAAATACTTCAGAGGATGAGCAGCTCCTCAGAAGTGGGGGGAATGTTGTCTGCGACCTTTCTGTGTAACTTCAGTCAGGTGCAGTGTCTCATCCTCAAATCTCACCCAGCCCCACCTGGGTGTCCCCCCTCCACCACTTCCTGACTGAGAGGGGCAAGCACCTGTCACCCCCCTCCACCCCCGAACCTGTCCCCGTGGCTGTAGGGTAGAGACAAGGCTTCTGACATGGATAAGGTTGCTCCGTGAGCAACGTGGGTTTGAAATGCGTATTGTACAGTATTGTAAATGTACTTTCTCTTCCTTATGACTTTCTTAATCATGCTGGTTTTCTTGAACTTATTTTGTTGTAAGAATACAGTGTATAACACGTATCACATGAAATTTGTGTTCATTGACTGCTTATGTTATCGATGAGTCTTCTGGTCAACAGGAGGCTAGTCGTAGAGTTTTGGGGAGTCAAAAGTTAGGTGCAGATTTTCTACTTGGGGGGGTTAGCACCCCTGACCCCCCCATGTTGTTGTTCTAGGGTCAACTGTACATCTTGGGAGGAATAAACCAAAGAATGTATGCCAAGTGCTTAGGAGGAACCCAAGAAATAGGAGATGTCAGGGTTTTTTCAACTCTCTTCAACTTTGGGGGAGGGAGCAGTTGGGTGCAGGATGCTGGCTGGGTGGTTTGATGGGAAGCCTGGTCCCCGGGGCCCTGGGCTTGATTTGGTGGTGTCTCCATTCAGGAAAGCTGGTAGAGGAACGAGTACGAGAGAGTATGACCAAGGAGGGATGCCAGGAGCCACACTGGGGCAGGATCTGGGGATGCCAGCAGCAGAGTAGGGCTGCATGAGAGGCGCAGAGAGTGTGGAAGTGACTTAGCAGCCGCCATATTTCTGACCATCACCTGGCTCAGAACACCAACGAGGTGGGTGATGTTGGGAGCCTCTTAGTGCAGAGACCCCACGACCGCGTTTTCCCTGGCCTGCAGCATGGCGCTCAGCTCATCACTATGGCCCCACAAACATGTCATGTGAATGAATTAGCAGACGGGTGGCAGAGGGGGTGGAGGCTTGCACACAGAGCCTTGGGAGAGCACGTGGAGCTGAGTGACACAGAGTCAGACTACCACTGATGAGCTCTTTAAAAAGCCAGATTCGATATTAAATTGTCTTGTTTTGTTTAATGGTTGCAAACCCCACTGTCTTTGGCTCACAGATATGGGAACCAAAGCTGAGAGGAGAGAAACCTTCCTGAGGGTTCCAGATCTCATGTGTTGTGATTATTGACTCTGTGGTGTTAGTGGCCTTGCTGGGGTCCATGGGACAGTCCCTGTAACATCGTAGGAGGTAAGTGAACATGGCATGTGAGGTCTCCTCTCTCTCTCTCTCTGTCTAGGCTGAGGAGCTCAATGAAGAATGAGGAACTCATGAACAACCTGAGAGGACTTATTTCTGAGTAAACCATCTTGGGGATGTACCTCCCTTGGAGAAGCCCCCAGGACTCCCAGAAGCAGCTCTTGGAGAGTGAATGGTGAAGACTGAACAACCGGACAGGTAGGGATGGCATGCTTGTCAAAATCCTACATTGAAGTTCACATGACTCCATGGCCATTCACTGGCCACTGAGGCCTGGGGATGTTGGGTTTACAAGGAAAACGGCTTTTGCTTTGCTGGGCTGAAGCATGTATTGGCCATGTGCTCTGTGCCTGGCCTTTGGACCTAAGGACCAGCTCTGCAGAGTTGACCGTGGGTACAGATGTGAAAACATCACTGAGAGACAGGGATAATTCAGGGGGAAGAAGTCTGCAACCCCGGCAGAACAGTCCTTTTCTATCTGAAGGATTAAAGGTGCCTGTGAATTCTTTGGCAGCCTTCCCCCCAACAGGTGGGGTTTATATCTCAACCCTTTGAATCTGCCTGGGCTTTGTGACCAATAGACTAGGACAGAGGGGTTGCTATTAGACGCCTGAAGAAATTGGAAGCTTATACTTCCAGGCTCTTTGAATTCTCTTTCCAAGAGCTCTGAGCCACTGTGTAAGACGTGTGACTACTCTGAGACCATTTTGCTGGAAAGGTGACATGATGGCCCAGTTGTGCCCAGCCCTCTAGCCATCCCCACCAGGGTGCCAGTCATGGGAGGGAAGCCATCTGGTCCTCCAGACCAGCCCATCCGCCAGCTGATTCCACTGAGTGGTTTCAGCTCTTGCCATGTGGAGCCGAAGACTTACCCAGCTGAGCCTTGCTCAAGTTCTTGACCCTAAATCATTAATTGTAATCAATCGTTGCATTTTTTTTTTTAAAGGCACTGAGTTTTGGAGTAACTTGTTATGCAGTAATAGATAACCAGAACAATCATCCTTTACATCTCTCTCTCTCTTTTTTTTTTTTTTTTTTTGTCCAAACTGGGGAGAGCTTCAAGTGTTAGTCATGAGAACAATGTTTATGGGGAGGAGCAGGGGGCGTACTTTGCCCATGAGAGCATTTAGGGATGTCGTTGCCCTGAAGTTGAATCTCTGTGGACTAAAGTCTTATTCTCATCAACTCAAATCTAATAAAACATGCCTAGGTGTACATGAGCCCTTTGGGCTTAAAAAAGATGGGAGTAACCATGATGGTGCAGGTCTTCTGGAGGAGAATGTGCTGTCTTCTTCCAGCTCAGAGCCCACCTCGTCCATTAGTACTGACAGAGAAGACCTATTTGCTTGCTTGTCTGGGGGCAAGGCCAGGGGATCTGTGGTGTGATGGGACTGGCTTCTTGGGCAGGGGATCTGGCTTATGGTCCTTGGCCCCCTCACCTTCTATGAACTCTAGGGCAGGCTTGAGGTCTTCTGTTCCTTTATTCTCTATCAACGTCAAACCTGGAAAGAAGAGAGCTGCCGCTTTGTGGCCAGAACAGCGATAAAGAGTCATGCCGTAGAGGTTGGATTATTGTCCTCGTCGCTCTTTCTGTAAGCGTGATGGAGTCTGTGCCTGGCGCATGGAGCCAGGGAGTGGCGCCACAGAGGTGACTCATCCCTGCCCTCAAAGTGCTCATTGTCATCCGTGAGCTGAGCAGAAAGACAAATGCCACAGAGGCAGTGCGGGCCCCTTGGGTGGGGGCTGTGCCACGGAGAAGTTCTGCCTAGAACTTCTCGGAAATGGAGTGGACACATCAGATGAAGTGAACGTGTCATAATTCAGGCTCCGCTGCTCCATAGGTGGCAGCAGGGGTGGTGGTGAGAGAGCCAGGCTAGCCATGGGCACAAGAAGGTCCTGCGTCCTTGGGAATGTGTGCAGAAAGGAGGAAATGGTGGTAGATCCTGATAGACCCCAGCAGAGATCTCAGAACTGGGCGGGGCTTCTGCTTGATTTCTTCGAGACCTGAAAGTGATGATGAGGAGGAAGATCTTTATTGAGCGCCTACTGCATGCCTACTCTTCTCTCTTTTAAGTTCCCAAACATGTGTGAGGAAGAAAATATCATCCCCAGTTTACAGACAAGGAAACTGAGGTTTAGAGAAGTGCGGTGTTTTGGTTAAGGCCACATGATTGGTTAGCGGCTGAACGAGTTCATCTGGATCTGGTTCAGAATTTCTCATTTCCTCCTTTTGGAAGTATCAGACTTCGGTCAGGGTGAAAGCCTCTGAGATTAATCTGGTACTTTGTCATTTCACGGTTTCCTGGTCAGATTATCCAGGATTTGGAGCGGACTCGGAGGTCACCTTGTCAGTCTAACCATAACTTAAAACTTCATTGCACTTCTCCCACTTGAGAGGAGATTAGCAAAGACTGTGGAAGTGACCCTCACTTCTGTGCACTGTTCCATCTGGCCGAGCTGGGTCATCATCACCTTGTTACTCCTGGTATGATGCATATTTTCTCCTGTCTCCCTCCACCTTCTGTAGGATCGAAATTTATTGGGATACAAAATTATATATTCTCCCTGATCCCGATTTTGTTATGTGGCCAAGAAGACCAGAAGGAAATACATCCAAATGTTAAAAGTCATCATCTCTGGGTTATGGAATAACAACTGATTGTTATGTCTGTGCTTATCATTCTTTTTTTCCTGCATGGTCCCAAATTTTTACAAGGAAAAGCCCATTGTTTGGAAAAGCTTCGGTAAAGCCTGGCAGTACACAATCTGATTTAGAGTTTTCAAGTTCTGTCCCCAGCCCAAAAGTTCAGGGATTGAGGCCTCTTCCCCAGAAGAGAGTGGGTGATATTGACAGAGATCAAAGCCCTTCCTGTGCATAATTCATGCCCACTGGACTCGAAAACCCTTTGTGAGTGCTGAATGGAAGTGTTATTTTCTTCACCCTATCTCTCAGAGAAGTTGGAAAAGATTAAAGAGGCAAAGTCAACAAGTTTCTTTGAACTTCCTAGAAGAAAGAACCGATGTAGGACAAAATGTTATTTATTTCTAGCAGCAAAAGAAGGTGCCCTGAGAGAGAACGTGTTAGGCTCACTTTATCGATATTCCCATTATTGTTCATAATAGTAATACTGTGGTACACTGGCTAGTCCAGTTCCCATCCCAGTCACAATAGGGAAACTGCCCATCTGACCTCGTTACTCCCCTGTCTGAAAACTTTTCAGGGCTCCCTATTGCCTGTAGGATAAAATTCGATTCTGTCAGATGATCTACTGACATTCCACTCTGTGCATTAGGCCTCTGCAGGTCCAACTATATCTCACGGCCTTTGCGCATGCTCGGCCCAATGTCCAAAATGCCTTTTCTCTTCTTGTACCCCTTGCAAACTCGTATGCAACCTTCAAAGTCATGATCCAGAGACTTCCTCCATGAAGCCTTCCTGGCTGTCTCTCCTCTCCCGAATGCATCACACACTTCAGTCCCATATCAGCACCTCTTCCATGCTCCCACTAGTACATGAAGCACATGTTCCCAACTGGGCTGTGAATCCTTCGAGGGAAGGGGTGGCATCTTCTTTGCCACTGTCTCCCAGGGCCTAGCGAATGACTGGCATGGAGGATTCACACGAAAGGAGTTTGTTGGACTCAGTGGTTGGACCGCATGCTGGAAAAGCATCAGGATCCTAGTGGTGCAAGCCTTGAAATAACACATAGAAAAGAGAGACATCTTGACTGAAAAATATAGAAATTTCTCCATGTAATTTGTAATTTGATTTCGCTCTTGGTTGCTTGAATTATGATGCAATAGTCCTACGAGTTCCTATTAAACTGCTCTGAGCTGTTGTGAACTCTTGCTCTGTTTCTTCATGAAATGGGGACTAAGGAGTGAAGTCCCAGGTAGGACATCCAAATGGACAACTGTGTGCATCATCACGGGCTCTGTAAATCAGGACTGGTGGACAGCTAGAAATGTTCTGCCAGTCTGCTTCACAGGGAGGAGCATCTTGAAGGCATCCACTGGGGACAACTCAACTGAGAACTTGGCCAGCAAGGAGGAAGGTATCTGAGAACCTGATACCACGGTGCAATGGAAATCATCTCAGGTGTGGAGGTGACATCAGATGGGCTCTGATTCACTGCACAACCAAGAATCGGCCTCGGATGTTACCGGAAAGCAACTTGTATTTCTGTCACCAACTCCCATCTCCCATCCCCTTATTTCCCTTGTTCCTTCAAAGTCCCAGTCCTGGGAGACATTTTCACAAACATTTTATAGAAGCTCATCTTCCTTATATTTTCTAAAGTTCAGCCTCCTCCAGATTAGCATAGCTAAAATGGTATCATTGAGAGAGAGAAGACATATTGGCCTGCATTGTTCTCCCTTGATTCTGAGAAAGTCTAGATCCTATTTTGCTCAAGAGACTTTGCTTGAGGTTGTAAATGTTCCATGACCAGATTTCTGTATATTCCATGCTGAGCCTCTAAAGTTGAAGCAGGGGCACCTGGGTGACTCAGTCGGTTAAGTGTCTGCCTTCGGCTCAGGTCATGATCCCAGGGTCCTGGGATCGAGTCCAGCATTGGGCTCCTTGCTCAGTGGGGAGTCTGCTTTTCCCTCTGCCTGCCGCTCCCCCACTTGTGCTCTCTCTCTGCCAAATAAATAATAAATAAAATCTTTAAACACAAAGTCGAGGCAAACATGCTTATCTTTTCAATTTTTGCTGTTGGTGTGGAATGGAGGGGAGAGATTGTGACAGGCTTTAAGCTCGAAGGGCCCCTGTGTCTAATAGAGGTGGTGCACCCTCTCCAACACTAGGTATTGTCCATCCTTTAAATTCTTGCCATTATCATGGATAAAAAGAGATATTTTGGATTTCTTTCACTGTGAGTTCTGTTGACCATCTTTATATATTCATTGGTTGTGTATGTGTGAGCACACTACTTGAAATCTGTTACCTGGGTTTTTGTTGTGGGTCTAAAGTTTTCCATATTAGTTTGTAAGAGCTATTTGTTTATTAAGGAAATTTGCCCTGTATCTGTCACTTGAATTGTAAACCTTCCCTCCACAGATCTTTGTCTTTGATTTTATGGCTCCCCTACCCCCATAGATATTTTAAAGTTATCTATTTCTACCAAATATAATTTGCTGGTATTTTTCTTTATGATTTCTTGTTGTCATAGCTTTCTTAGAAAGATTTTCTTCAT